GGTGATGCAGGCCTCCTGGCTTGCCCCACCCTTCCCTCAGCCCTGCCTCTGAGTTTGCTGCTGGTGGAGGCAGCTGCCCGCCCGCCCGGCATCCTGCATCCTACGTGGGGAGGCTGCAGGCCTTGCACCGCCCCCCAGGACTGGGTAGAAGCACCAGAGAATCAGAGCCCGCCACAGAAACACAGACAGACGCCGGAAGAGAACATGAGAGGAAAAGAAGGAGGGAGAAAAAGGAGTGTGTGGGTGGAGGGGTGAGACCATGGGCAGAAGTGGAGGGAGAGAAAACAGAAAAAGAAGAAAACTACTCGAAGAAGACAACGGTTAAGGTTGAGGGTGGGGAGAGACGAGAAAAGGCAAAAGAATAGAAAAAAGAAAGGCAGGGAGGAGTTGAGCAGAAATGGAGTAAAACAAACCCAGAACTGACCCAAACCAGAAAGGAGAAAATGCACATGCAGTCACGTGGCTCATCCTAGCCTTCAGGAGACCCCATTCTGCCTTCAGACTGAGACGCTGCCGACAGGACTCTTGTCCCTGTGGATTCTCACTCCAGCAGGAAGGACAGGGGCTGGCCCTCAGTTTTGGTGACTAGAGAGGAGCAACAGGGACTGGGGTCCCCAAGCCGGACAACATCCTTCACCCAGCACCCTCTCAGCTGGGACTTGAGGAGGGGCTGGAGTGGGCTTGGGAAGCAATGCTGGTGTCACCCAGGGGTCACCCTGCAGCCCTACTCTCTCAGCTGTCCCAAATCCTTCCCTGATTCCTCTGTCCCAAGTTGTCCCTCTTGAATGGGTGCTTCCAGAGAGCGGGGTGGGAAATCAAGCCTTCTCTTCAGGAGCCTGGACTGAAGGCTTGCTCAGGAGGAGAGGTGGGGGCCAGGCCTCCCAGTGGACAGCTGAGGGCTCAGGTCACCTGGAAGAAAAGGAAAGGAGGAGGTGAAGCAAAAAGGCAAAGAGACCCAGAAAAAGAGGTCCAGAGAGGAGAAGCACGGAGAAAGACAAATTCACAGGGGAGAGAGAGAGTGGGTGACAGGGGACCAAAATGGAAGACTGGGGTGGGGAAGAGTACAAGGAAGAACAAGAGGGAGGGAGGGAGAGATTCCCCTCTGTCTGTTCCTTTCACCCAGCTCCTCCTCTGAGCTGCGTATCCTCTGACCATTTCCTGGTGTCCCACACACCCTCAGCCCACTGAAGTCGGCTTCCTAGCCCATCTCTTCACCAAAACAGCTCGCACTAGGGGCACGGGTCACCTCCGCGTGGCTGAGTCCAGGGAACATTGCAGTCCCCATCAAGCGAGCTCTCCCTGCAGGGTTTGCCTCCCTGTCCTTCTTCTCTGGCCACTCTTGTCCTGTCTTTTGTGTGGCCTTCTTTTCTACCCAGCCCTTTAACCTGAGGGTCCTCCAAGCTCACTCCAGCCCTGGCTCTCCCCGTCCATACTTTCTCTCTGGAGATACCTCCATCCACACCATCTCTTCCATGACTGTGGTCCTGGGAGTCCCACATCTCTCTCTCCTCTGAACCCCAGGCCCAGGTGCCAGTATTTCCCCCGCATTTCACATGGGAGGTCTCACAGGCACTGAACAATCAACATGAGCAAAACTTAATTCATTATCTTCCCCCTAAACCTAGAAAAGAGGGAGAGAGGGGAGGGAAATCTCTGGAGGCTGAGGCCCTTGGGCTGGAGGCATAGGAAGAGCAGAGCTGTACCGGGAGCAAAGGAACGTAATGAAGGGCTCAGATGAGGCCATGTTGAAGAGAGGGAAGAAGAGGGGCACCCACACACCTGGGGTCTGTCCCCAGACTCTGCTCAGGTTCCCTCAACTGTGCAGAACTTCACGTGGGGATTCTGGAGAGCTTCGTGCCTGGGGTCTTCGCTGCAGCCTCCTCTTTCCTCTCGTAGGTACCCTCTCTCCATCACTAGTCTGAGGACAGTGGAGGGTCAGAGTGGGGAAGAAAGACAACAAAACCTCAAATGGGGGCCAGAGCAGCTGCAGAGGTGTGCTGGGGCCGGGGTGTGTCCCCACTAGGTGCCTTGACGTTGCCTTTTCAGACATGCTCCTCCCACTGTCCCACATCACTGGAGTCCAGACAGGGGTCTGAGGAGCTCCGGAGGCCTTCCCCTCCCTTTTGGGGGGGCACTTGGGAAAATTTGGAGAGGGAGAGAACTCAAGAGCTCAGCACTTTCCTCTTTCTGTTTTTCTTCTTGAGGATTTTTTTTTTCCCCAACTGCTGATGAGTTTACCATTCTTGGGGGCGGGGGGGTGGAGATTCTGGCTTTTGCTCCCCCCCCCAACTCCAAGTGCCGGACAAAAATCCTACATTCCACACGAAGCCAGAGCTTCAGAGTTTCCTAAAGATGAGGTGGCGTCTCCTCCCCTTGTAGCCCAAGCTCCCCCTCCCCCAGTCTCCAGCCCTCAGCCCTGGCCAGGGAGGCCCAGCCAGGCTGGGAGGAGACCCCAAGCACATTCTTCCTCTCACTGTCATGCTGCAGAAATTAAAGACACATCTTTGGGCTGGGTGCCCGCCAAGCGTTTCAAGTCAAGAAGTGGCAGAGGAGGACCTGGGCCTCAGCTCTGTGCCACGTGTAAAGGATGCTTGGAAACCCTGGACATTGGGGGTAGCTGCTGTCATCCACCACACACACAAAGCCCCAGTGCCAGGGGTCCCTGAATATCTGGCAGAACCCCAGGTGCATGGTACAGCAACTCCCATCCATACCTGTGAGGCTTCACCTCTCCTCCAAGGTGTACCTGGGACAGGAGGCTAGACAGGAAGTAAGTGGGGAGGGGGCTGTGGGCAGAAGCCCTTTCCAGGAAGTAAACTCGCCAAGCAGGGAGGTGGGCAAGTCACACCAACCCTTACTTTGAGTCCTGCCATACCCTTCCCTGGACAACTACTTCAAATGTTCCTTCTGGGAATGGGGCCCTTGACCTCTGTTGAGGAGGGGGCTTGGAACTGACCAAGTGGAGCTCAGAACTTTGGTGGGTCTAGGAATTGCCATCTCAGCACCTCAGCCCCCAGTCTGCCCTGTAGTTGCTGGCACTAGGCGGGGGCAGATCCTGGGCCACAAGTTACTGCCACATGGTTGGGATAATTGATGAAGTCCCGTCCCTCCATTGCTGTCTCCAGCCCTGCCTCTCTGGAAACTCTATATTTTCCCTTTAATTATAGCCCCTGCTGTCTCCCTCCGCTGCCCCACCCGCACTGCTCCTAGCTGCCCACGGCAGGCCGACGACGTGGCTCCCTCCCCTTCTGTTCCCTTGGTCTTTATTTTTTTTTTTTCCTTTGCCTTCGTTGCACAAAACCAGCTGGGGGAGGGCGTGGAGAGGGGCGGGGGGAGGCAATGGAATCTTGGATGGTTTGGGGGAGGAGGGACTCCCTGCTTCCACGTTTGCAGCTCTAGACCAACGAGGGTGGGGGAGTGGTATAGGAGGGAGGGGAGCTTTGGGGGCACAATGAGGAGACCCCGTTGCCTCCTTTCAGACCCATAGATTTTGGCAGATGAGGGCCCTGATAGATTAGGTTGAGGCGGAGTACTGTTGGGAGTTGGAGACCTAGGGGAAGGAAGGATGCTAATTTCCAAATATTTGCCCTTGTTCCCAGGGTCCCTGCTTCCTAGGAACAGAGAGCAATGGTCAGAGCTTTCAGGAAAGCGGTGAGGCAATGAGAAGTAACCTCTAAAATAAGATCACTCAACTTCCCCCGTACCTCCATCTCAAGCCCTAAAGGCCGGGTTCCCCAGGCACCCAAATTCTTCTATGTGTCCCCAACCCTGAGTACGTCAGGTACTTCCAGAGAAGAGGCTTTACGCAGCTACCAGGACACATTCCCTGGCCAAGTGCCCTCCACTCAAACTCTCTGAATTGACTGTACAGAGGGGAGGGGTCGCTTACTAGCCTCTGGCCACAGTCATGGCAGACACAAGACCCTTTTCTAAGTTATCAATGATCATAGGCCTCGTTTCCCTACATACTCATCCCCCAGTTCCAGCCAGGGGAGTGAGTTGTAAGGGACTGCAAAGCCTTCTCCACACCTCTGAGTCCCAAGTACTCCCCCACCCCTACCCTGCTGCCCTGCCCCATCACCCAACACCAAACTTCCTTCTGGAGAGACACAGCCAAGTTTCTCACCCTGCACCTCAGCCTCTCCACCCCAACCCACTCCATCATGCCTGGGGAAAGGAGGATGGTCGTCTTAGGCTGTCTTGGAACTTCAGACATGGAGGAAGAACCGACACCCTATAAATAAATAAATAAATGTAAAAACATTTTTTAAAATACCTTGCCAGCATCCCCTCCAAGTATCTGATTCCTAATGTCTATAAAGGAATATCTAATTTAGTCCTCAAATATTCCTAACTTCCATACCCTCAGACACACCAGGAGGTACCCCCATAACGGGCCCATATTTTGTATTCCCTGTTTCTTCTGTTCAGTAGAGGCTCCTCGCTAGCCACTCTAGACCCATTCCTTAGCTCTTGCCAAGGCTAGGAGGAGAGTTAATGAGGTATGGTCAGGAAGACCCTCTCCTAAACACCCCCAACCCCTCCACCTTTGGAAGGCTCCCCACTCAGCTTTCCAGTTCAACTTCCTCCAGATTGGAGGTCCTGGGAAGAAAGGCAAGGGGCATCCCTATCCATTCTTTAGCCCCCACTCTACTGAGGACCCAGCAACACTCCAGCAGCAGCACCTCTGGCCCAGGCTGGGCTGGGGGGCTGGGGAGGCAGAGCTGCAAAGGGGGGAGACGTCGGGTGGACTCCCTTCCTTTCCTTTCCCTCCTCCTCCCCCTCTTCGTTCCAAATTGGGGGCCGGGCCAGGCGGCTCTGATTGGCTGGGGGACGGGCGGCCCGCTCCCCCTCTCTAAGGGGCAGGGTTCCTCCCAGCACTCCATCAGGACCGTATAAAAGGGGCCCGGGCCAGTTGTCGGAGCAGACGGGAGTTTCTCCTTGGGGTCGGAGCAGGAGGCACGCGGAGTGTGAGGCCACGCATGAGCCGTCGCTAACCCCCCACCCCAGCCGCAAAGAGTCTACATGTCTAGGGTCTAGACATGTTCAGCTTTGTGGACCTCCGGCTCCTGCTCCTCTTAGCGGCCACCGCCCTCCTGACGCACGGCCAAACGGAAGGCGAGGTCAATGACCAAGAGGGAGACAGTAAGTTCCAAACTTTTGGGAGTCCAAGGCTACTTGGTACCGCGCCCTAAGCCTGATCCAGGGCTTAAACAGAGACTCGGGATGCTTTGGAAACTCAGAGATAGAAGGGACATGGCGGGGGCTCTTCTTCAGCACCCTGGGAGAAGAGGGACTTTACCCTGGGGTGGAGGTTGGGATGAACACTTCCCAGGAGTGGAACGTGAGAATAGAGCACGTTTTGAGACGGTACAGGAGGAAATCCCGAGCGTGCACTGTGGAGCACAACGGGGAAAGTGGGGATCTGGGCGCGGGTACGGGCAGATCACGTCGAAGATGGGGAAGATGAGATAGGGATGCCGAACTAAGGTTTGGAGCCCAAGATGTAAAAGCGATCGGGAAGGCGGTGGGATGATTCATAAGGAAAGATTGTTTGCCTTCTGCACAGGCTAGACAGTTTTCCTGGGACCGCGGGGGTGCTGGGCTGCTGGGGGATGGGATGTGCGGAGTGGGCGGGTTGGAGGACAGAAAGTTTGGCGCGGACTTGGCAGGGCGGCGTCCTTGCGCCCCCTGCTGATTAATGCTAAACGCTGCGCTTCTGGGTCCCGCACTTTCCCGCAAGGGAGAGGGAGTTGGAAGAAACTGGGTTATTGCCAGGCGTAGACCCCAGTTCTAGAACTGGAAAATAAATCTAGTGATGGGTAACCCCTGCTCCTAAAACAAGTAGCCAGTCCAGGGAAATTGGCCCCTCCCCGTTCCCTTTGCTTAGCGTTGCCCGCCACCTAGTGACCGTCTAAGTAGATGCTAGCGCGATGGGCCTGGCTAATTTCATTATTTGAGATCTTTGGGTTCTGTGGCTAAAGAGTGACCCGGAAGCACTGGTTGGTTTTGGGGGGGTTGATGTTAGCCCCGAAAACAAGATTTTAAGATATTTGAGAGCCGGGGGTTAGGATGTATCCTACTTTTAGGGGAACATTTCAAGTCTCTGGGCGGGACGCCGCTAAAAGTCGCCCCACCCTACTCTGGCTCCGCCTACGCCATCCCACCTGCCCAAGGAATGAGGGCGGAATGAGGGCTGGACCTCCCTTCTCTCCTCCCACCCCCTCTTCTGGTCTCTACGCCAAACCACTCCCCACAGCCTGCACTCTGGATGCGGCCCCAACTACCCGCCCCCACCCCCCGCCATGGCTTTTTATTTCACTTGGCTTCAGCGCCCGTGGGCTGAGGTTGGAGTTGGAAGCAACCCCGGCCTCGAGCTTTGTTTAAATTCCTGAGAACTGGAAAGAGTTACTGGCTAGCCGCCCTGGCCAGGGGGCCTCGCGCTGTCACCGACGCTGATGCGGAGCTTTTAAGAACTTGGGAGACAGTGGGATAGGGGGAAGGAGGCGGGAATGGAAAATCGAAATGTGCTTCGTAGAGGGAAAGGGCGTGTAGATCTGGGGTCCCTGGTGCCCCGAGATGAGAGGCAAGGGTCTCGGGTGCCGCTGACAGCCCGCGTCTTCTCCCCCTTATCCAGTCCCAGGAGTCGACTGCATACAGAACGGCCTCAGGCGCGCTCATAACGATGTCTGGAAACCCACGCCCTGCCAGATCTGCCTGTGCCACAATGGCGAAGTGATGTGCGATGAAGTGGTCTGTCCTAATGACGCCAAGTGTCCGGGAGGCCAAATCCCCCCTGGCGAGTGCTGTCCTGTCTGCCCCGACGACGCCGGTATGGTTCAGGCGTTGGCCTAGGGGAGGTCTGGGCCACTCCCTCGCTCTGCTTCTCGGAGGCTTTTGCCACCGGGAGCATCGTTGGCAAACCACTTCTAACTGTGCCTCTTCTCCCCCAGCATCACCCACGGACCAAGACCTCACAGGAGTTGAGGTAATCCTGGGCTCTTTACTGTTGCCGTCAAGTCCATCTGTCCATCCTCACTGTCCTCTCCTTTCTAACCGGCCTCTTGTTTCTTCTCTCCCAACCCCACAGGGACCCAAGGGAGACACTGGCCCCCGCGGCCCAAGGGTAAGCCGGCGGATTCCCTGGGCTTCGGGAGGCTAGAGTGGGCGTGGCTTCTGCCTGCGCTCACCCCGGCCCCGCCCTTGTCCCCTTACAGGGACCCGCAGGCCCCCCTGGACGAGATGGCATCCCTGGAAATCCTGGACTTCCCGGGCCTCCCGGACCCCCTGGACCCCCTGGACCCCCTGGCCTTGGAGGAGTAAGTGGAGAATCAAGTCTCTCCCCGAAGGCCACATGTGCCCCCTCCCTACTATTTTGTTGTTGTTGTTGGCAGATGACATAACTTTGTATTTTGAGATAGTCTCAAACTTAACAGAAGAATTGCAAGATTAGTGCAGAGAATTTTCATATAACTATCACACTTAGTCACATCTGCTTTATCAATTTCCATATATACATAATGTCAGTATTTTTTTCTGAACCATTTGAGGATAGGTTGCTGACATGATGTCCCTTTGCTTCTAAATATTCCAGAGCTATTTTCTCAACAAGAACATTTTCTTATGTGACCATAGCACAATGATTAAATTTAACATCGATCCAAAATGATTATCTCATATACAGTCCAATTTTTACCAATATCCCAACAATGTCTTTTATAGCATTTTTTTTTCTCCAGGATCATGAATTGCACTTAATCATCATATCTCTTTAATTCCCATGAATGTAGACTATTCCTGAGACTATTTCCTGGGTCTTTCATAACACTGAAAGTTTTCTAAAGGCCAGTCATTTTGTTAATCTGTCCCCCTAATTTGTATGATTATATTAGATTCTGGCGATGCATTTTGGGTAGGAAAATCTCGTAAGCAATGTTGTTGTCTGACAGAACATCACAAGGGGAAGCACATGTTGTCAGTTTGTCCCATTATTGGATGTGTTTTCTGCTTTTCAGTTTCCTGTCCTGTGCTGATTTCTCATGCATTCTCTCTCTCTCTTTTATTTTTTCCAGAACTTCGCTTCCCAAATGTCTTATGGCTATGATGAAAAATCAGCTGGAGTGTCCGTGCCTGGCCCCATGGTGAGCCACCAGGGGGAGCAGAGATGACAGAAGAGGATTGGGATCCAGAGGAGATGGGCCAGAGATATAGGCATATGGGGGTGGCAAGAAGGCTTGGGAAGTAAAGGCTACCACCTTTGGGGCCTCAGCGTCTAGAAAGGCTACATGACAACTATGCTCCCAATGGGGCAAAAGGGGGATAGCAAGACTTCTTCCACATTGTGTTTTCCTAAAGAAGTCTCACCACAGCCTCCTTTCTTCTAGGGTCCCTCTGGTCCTCGTGGTCTCCCTGGCCCCCCTGGCGCACCTGTGAGTATCCAAGAGATCTTCATATTCCATCTTGGGCTTTGGACTGTTGGTGGGGAGATTTGGATGAGGGCAGAGAAGGGGCTCAGAGAGTTTTTGGTGACATGGGGACAGCTTGGCAGACACCTGCCCTTCTGACCTCATCCCTCTCTCCTTGTTCTCCAGGGTCCCCAAGGTTTCCAAGGCCCCCCTGGTGAGCCCGGCGAGCCTGGAGCTTCAGTAAGCACTCTCCCCACCGACACACCCTCCTCTGCCAACACGGACTTCTCCCTTAAAACGACCCTCACCTGGGGACCACCTCATCACCTCCTTCTAATCTGAACCTTCCCCTTCTTTTTTTCCTTGTCCTGGAGATTCTAACCACCTCTCCTTCTATCTCTTCTAGGGTCCCATGGGTCCCCGAGGTCCCCCTGGCCCCCCTGGCAAGAACGGAGATGATGTAAGTAGCCCTAGTGAGAAGATGCCATCTGACCCCATGGCCTCCATGGGTTGGGTCCTGTAATCTCGACCAGGGTGCCCCCCATCACCTTTGGGGCTAATGCCCAGAGGAAGAAGGACAAGTCCCCTGCCACCCTCCACTGTCATGCCCAAGATTGCTCTTGAACAATGACTTACATTTTAATGATGCTTTCCCTAGAATGGGTGATTCTTCCTCCCCTCCCCCAGTCATTTTAAAGGGATCCCCCTATCCCTCTGACTTTCTCAGGTTTAAGTGATCTGGGGGCAAAGAAGATGAGATTAAAATGCTGGTTTCAGAAAAAAAAAAAAAAAAGTTCTGGAGGGACCCAAATGTCACCAAAGAAAGGTGTTCATGGTAGATCTAAACTGAGCTCTAGATTCAAAGAAAGATTTGGGACCCCTAACCTGACCATCAGCAATCTCAAGAAGACTGAGACCTTCCACACTTTCTCAGCCCCAGGACCTGGGCATGACGGTCTTTTCTCTCCCTCCAGGGTGAAGCTGGCAAACCTGGTCGTCCTGGTGAGCGTGGACCTCCTGGGCCTCAGGTGAGTGAGTAAGGGGTTGAGGCCAGACCCCTCCACATCACTGCATCTGTGCCTTTGGAAAACTTTCAGTGTTATGAAAGTTATTCTAATGGTTTTTCCTTGTCTCCTTTGCTTTTCTCTCCAGGGTGCTCGTGGATTGCCTGGAACAGCTGGCCTCCCTGGAATGAAGGGACACAGAGTAAGTCCCCTTTGGGTCATCTAAGCTCCCAAAGTCCTGGACCTTCTATCATTCCTGCCCCTTCCCCAACAGATCCTGGTGTGCATCTTGGTGGGTGGCAGCTACAGAAATCCCAAGGGGTGTCGGGGTAGATATGTGAAAGAATTTCCTTCCATGGGGATGAAATCCCAGTAAAGAAACTGGAGGGATATTGGGCCATTTGGGGTTTAGTCTAGCTCAGAGACAGAGGAATGGCTCTGGTGGCCTCCTGAAGCTCCTTTTCAGATCTGGGTGGGTGTCAAGGTGGTCTACCTCCTCCACAGGATCTCACTTTGGGCCTCTTTCCTATATTAGGGTTTCAGTGGTTTGGATGGTGCCAAGGGAGATGCTGGTCCTGCTGGTCCCAAGGTAAGAGGCTGTGGGAATGTCCAGGTCCCCTGCCTCCCCTTCCCAGTCCCACCATGCATGAATTCCTCACTCTATTCTCTGTCCTGTAGGGTGAGCCTGGTAGCCCTGGTGAAAATGGAGCCCCTGGCCAGATGGTGAGTGAATGTGTACAGTTCTCGAGGGAAGAGGAGCTGGGTACTGGGGAAAGATGGCGGCTTGGGGGGCCAGGAGGTTGACTTCCATCTCACTCGGCTTCTCTTGGTTTGGTTGTTAGGGCCCCCGTGGTCTGCCTGGTGAGAGAGGTCGCCCTGGAGCCCCTGGCCCTGCTGTAAGTATTCCTGGATCCTTGGGGGATTCCCTAGGCTGTGGACAGTGTTCCCCCAAATCTACAGGGACTGGCCAGCACTCAGTGGACATAACTGGGGCTTCCACTCTCTCTTGCAGGGTGCACGTGGAAATGATGGTGCTACTGGTGCTGCTGGTCCTCCTGTGAGTATGGCCCTTGGACTTAAGGCCTGGGAACAGGGAGGGTTTCTGTGTTGGCTCTTGGTTCTGGAACCAGCAGTGGGCCGTGAGGGTCTGACACCTCTTCTGTCCCAGCATTTGACTCTTCCTCTTGCTAATGCCTCTGTTTCATTCACAGGGTCCCACTGGCCCCGCTGGTCCTCCTGGTTTCCCTGGTGCTGTTGGTGCTAAGGTGAGACCCCTGCCCTCCTCTGAACACTATTCTCACTGGCCAAGGGATGGCTGTCTCCCTGCTCCCCAAACCAGAGGAATCCAGAGAAGCAAGAGGGAAACTTAATATCAACACCTTTGTCCTGATGTCCACTTCCCAGATCCTAGAGTCCTCATTCTTGGTCTCCTGTCCCTGTCTCTCCTCCCCCTGCCCTGCCCCCTGCCCCTCACCATCCAGAGGTAAGGTTGGGTTCCCCTGTATGGTCTCTGATGTGACCTTCCCTCTGATCCAGGGTGAAGCTGGTCCCCAAGGAGCCCGAGGCTCTGAAGGTCCCCAGGGTGTTCGTGGTGAGCCTGGCCCCCCTGGCCCTGCTGGTGCTGCTGGTCCCGCTGTAAGTGTCACCTCTTAGTGTCCCCTGAGCCATTTTCCAACCTTAGAGACATTTCCTCTTGCTCACCCTCCTTTCTCTGTGCCACAGGGAAACCCTGGTGCTGATGGACAACCTGGTGCTAAAGGTGCCAACGTAAGTATCCTGCCAGGTCTCAGTGCTCCCCTGGCGCCCACCTCCCCCCGCCTCTGCCCTCCAGTCCTTTACTCAACTGTGTGTCTTGCCTTTCACAGGGTGCTCCCGGTATTGCTGGCGCTCCTGGCTTCCCTGGTGCCCGAGGCCCCTCTGGACCCCAGGGCCCCAGCGGTCCTCCTGGTCCCAAGGGTAACAGCGTAAGTCCACACCTCTCCAGAGCACTGACTCCAGAGCGCCCCCTGTGGGGAGCATGAAGACGCACGCCACTTGGCCCTCAGCTCATCCTCTCCTTCTCCCACACAGGGTGAACCTGGTGCTCCCGGCAACAAAGGAGACACTGGTGCCAAAGGAGAACCCGTAAGTCCCACACCAACACTCCTGCCCTGCGACCCCTTGAGGGAGATCCGGGCAGGGCCGGTGCCCCTTGTCTGTTGGGGAGGCCCTGGTGCTGGAGGCTCAGCCTCAGACAGGCTCCAGGGCTGGCACCAGGATGGCTCCTCATCAACATCACCTTCCCTGCCTGCTCCAGGGCCCCACTGGTGTTCAAGGACCCCCTGGCCCTGCTGGAGAAGAAGGAAAGCGAGGAGCCCGAGGTGAACCTGGACCTGCTGGCCTGCCTGGACCCCCTGGCGAGCGTGTAAGTGCTTTCCCCTTCTCTGCCCCCAGCGCCCAGCTGGTGCCCTGGACTGTGACTCTGGGCTCACCGGCCTCTTCTCCTTCTGCAGGGTGGACCTGGTAGCCGTGGTTTCCCTGGTGCAGATGGTGTCGCTGGTCCCAAGGTAACCTCTCTTCACTGCTGGGAGGCTGGCCCACCACTCCCTGGCCATCACCTCCCTCCCAGCGCCACCCCATGGTCATGAGCTCCCCACTGTGGCTGCTGCCCCTTCCCAAGCAATGCCCCTCAAAGCCCACCTGCCCGCCCCTGCTGGAAGGAAGCACCCGCTGGCCCATAGGAACCTCAAGACCTCATGCTTCCTGTGACTTCCTCCCCTCCAGGGTCCTGCTGGTGAACGTGGTTCTCCTGGCCCTGCTGGTCCCAAAGGTTCTCCTGGTGAAGCTGGTCGCCCTGGTGAAGCTGGTCTGCCTGGTGCCAAGGTGAGACCCCAGCCCTCCAGCCCAGCTCAGCCAGGACCCTGCCTTCTGTAGGGTCTGGGAGGAGCACTCTGGAGGAGCCCCCCTGGCCGGCTCTTGGTGTCCTTCCTCCCACCATTCACACCTCTGCTTTCCCACTAGGGTCTGACTGGAAGCCCTGGCAGCCCTGGTCCTGATGGCAAAACTGGCCCCCCTGTAAGTATGCCACCCCTGAGGCCTCTACCCATCTCCAGCCTCCCGTCTGCCTCCGTTCTGTCCTCAACACCACCATGTTTCCCACCCTCAGGGTCCCGCTGGTCAAGATGGTCGTCCTGGACCCCCAGGTCCCCCTGGTGCCCGTGGTCAGGCTGGTGTGATGGGATTCCCTGGACCTAAAGGTGCTGCTGTAAGTGTTCAGTGCCAGGGACAGACACACCCCAGAGGCAAGAGCCTTGGACTCTAGGCCCAACTCTGATGACTTGCTGTGTGACCTAGAGTGACTCATTGCCCCTCCTGGCACCTCGAGCATTGCTCTGACCCTGGAAATAAGTATCATTGGTGCCTTCGCTCCACAGAAAGCCTGGTCCTTTTATGATAGTGGCCCCAAAATTTGATCTTTTGGGGGCTTCATAAGGAGATCCCAGAGGAGATAAAAGCCCTTTGCAGTTCAGATCACGGCAAGCATATAACAGGGAGAAGGAAAGCAAAGGGGAAAAGGAGGGGACTGAGAGGGCATCTTGGGGAGTGGCAGGGAGCTAAGGGACCAAGCACTAAAAACCAGCAAAGCACTCCCCAGGGGACCGCCACCTGTGAACAGAGCCTGCCTGTTGGCCTTTTCAAAAAGAAAACCCCTTAGAAAAGGATTATAGATGCATGTCTATAATCCCAGTGGCTCATGAGGCTGAAGCAGGAGGATCACAAGTTCAAAGCCAGCCTCAGCAATTTAGTAAGGCCCTAAGCAACTTAGCAAGACCCTGTCTCTAAATAAAAGATAAAAAGGGCTGGGGATGTGGCTCAGTGGTTAAGCACCCCTGAGTTCAATCCCTGATACAAAAAAGTTTCCCCTCCTTGGGCCTCAACTCTGACCCCCTTCTGCACAGGGAGAACCTGGCAAAGCTGGAGAGCGTGGTGTTCCTGGACCCCCTGGCGCTGTTGTAAGTCTCTCCTTTCAGTCTCTAGCTCCTTCCCATCCCTGCCCCTCCCCGCAGGAGGGACACAGAAGTCTGTACCCGCAGCCAGTCACCTGGCTGATCTATGAGCCCCTAGGGAGACTGCTGTGTCTGGGAGCCCCAGGCCCCGCCCACTGCCCACTGCCCACTGCCCACTACACCCTTTCCGGCTGCTGCCACCTGAGTTCTTCACCTTCTCCCCACAGGGTCCTGCTGGCAAAGATGGAGAAGCAGGAGCTCAGGGACCCCCCGGCCCTGCTGTAAGTGTCCCTGACTGGGAGGCCTAGGGATAGGGAAAGGAGACCCCTCCTCTTCTCGGCCTTCCCATGACCACAGTGTTCCCTCCATGACAGGGTCCCGCTGGTGAGAGAGGTGAACAAGGTCCTGCTGGCTCCCCTGGATTCCAGGTGAGGCCACATGGTGGTAAAAGGGATTTGGTGAGGGGGGCCTCCTTGTTCTTTTCCAGATTCTAAACCTTCTTCTTCCCTCTCTATTTCCCACTTACAGGGTCTCCCTGGCCCCGCTGGTCCTCCCGGTGAAGCAGGCAAACCTGGTGAACAGGTAAGTAGTAGCAACTGGCCAGAGGTATGAGGAATGCAGGAAATACAGAGGAATAGGCCACAGCCCCTAGCTAAATTAGATGACCAGAGGCTAGAGGGATTAAGGGTAAATACCCAGAAGGACTTCCTATCTTGAAGGGAGCTACACAGAGGGATGTGGGTGCTATATGATATAGTCTATAAGGAGCCGCATGGCTCCTAGGCTGGGTGACATTTTTAATGAGTTGCTGGAACACCCTGGCTTTCCCTCAAGCCTTCTGATTGCCATTCTGGGAAGAAGGGAGGTCTTTGACAAATCTTGGGGAGTCGAGGGGCTGTTTGGGGAAACTCCCAGTTCCATGCTGAGAAGTTCATCTCTACTCAAGGGCCCCAAGGGCCAGCCTCCAGGAACAGGGACAGGAGTTCTTTCTTGTGGGGAGAACCCTAGTGGGTTGTGCTCACTGTCACTCTCCCTCTCTCCCTCAGGGTGTTCCTGGAGATCTTGGTGCCCCTGGTCCCTCTGGAGCAAGAGTAAGTAGACTCTCTCTCCCTGCTCCTGCCTCCATGCGCTGGGCCTGGGCTGGGCCTGTCTCTGGAGCAGCCATCTCATGGCCTTCCTTCCCCTCTAGGGCGAGAGAGGTTTCCCTGGTGAGCGTGGTGTGCAAGGTCCCCCTGGTCCTGCTGGTCCTCGTGGGTCCAACGGTGCTCCTGGCAACGATGGTGCCAAGGTGAGGGCAGGGTGACACTGGAATTTGGGGGTGGGGGTGCTGCACTCAGCCTCCAGCCTCAGCTCTGAGTCTTTCCTCTTAGCTGACGCCTGTCTTTGGCCTTAGGACCAAGTCTGGGAGATGTCAAGAGGGGCTCAGGGCTTGTGACCCACTTTGGGGCCCTGGGTCTCACTCCAGCCTTCTTGGTTGTCACTTAGGGTGATGCTGGTGCTCCTGGAGCTCCCGGAAGCCAGGGTGCCCCTGGTCTTCAGGGAATGCCTGGCGAACGTGGTGCAGCTGGTCTTCCAGGCCCCAAGGGAGACAGAGTAAGTTCAGCTTCCACTTCCCGTGAGCCTCCTGGCTCCCGTCTCTCCTCCTGCTTTGGATCCCTCAGCATCTCTCCTTCTCCTAGGGTCTTTCCCTCTTGCCCTTAATTCTCCCTCCTTCCCCCTCTCTCTCCTTTACTGGCAAATCCTCTGACTTCAATCCTGTCCCTTTTCCCCATGAGTCACTATAGTGATGACAGGTGGGACATGTCCTTGATGGAGGCCTCCTTATTCATCCCCTGCGTGAGTCAGGGGCCTCTTCACCTACGTTCTGCCCACATCCACAGACAGGCCCTCCCCGCCCCCCAGAATGAATCTTGTATCCTCAGCACGGGCAGAGTGGTGCAGAGCTGGCCAGGGCCTCTCGGGGCTCCCGGACAAAAGCAGAATGCTACACGTCAACTCCTGGCCCCACACTGGAAGTCTCAGGCTTTTCCCTGTCTTTAGGGTGATGCTGGTCCCAAAGGTGCTGATGGTTCTCCTGGCAAAGATGGCGTCCGTGGTCTGACTGGCCCCATTGGTCCTCCTGGTCCCGCTGGTGCTCCTGGTGACAAGGTGAGTGGCCACCTCTTCCTCTTCTTTCCTAACACACCTTCCCCAGCAAGCCTGGGCCGGGCTCTGAGGGGTAGGCAGGTCCTGCTGTACCAAGTGAGTGGCCTAGGAAGCTGGAGGGACCAGTGGGGGGAGGCTCTCCTGGGCTCCTCTGCCGGGAGCACTCGGTATGGCCCCTGACCATGAGCTTCTTGTCTTTGCCTCTCAGGGTGAAACTGGTCCCAGCGGCCCTGCTGGCCCCACCGGAGCCCGTGGCGCCCCTGTAAGTACAGAAGCACCTGTTAAGACCCGTGCTCAGCCCTCTGCCATCTGCCTTCTTTTTGTCCCTCTTCACGGTCCCCTCCCTTTTCTACTTTCCACCTTTCCCCACGTTGTGACATCTTTCCCATTCGCCTCCTTTCCTTCCAGGGAGATCGTGGTGAACCTGGTCCCCCTGGTCCTGCTGGCTTCGCTGGTCCCCCTGTGAGTATCAAGATCCCCTTCATTCCCCATCACCAACTGGGACATGGATCATGGGACCCTGGGTGACTGAATGAGGACAGAGAGTCCGGGGAGAAAAGTGGAGAGGGATCATCTCCCGCCCAAGCATCTCCCTGCTCTTGTCGCTGTCCCCACCAGCCCAGAGGCCCTCCCTGCCCCGCTGTGGCTGTATCTTCTCCGCTCACTGCTCTCTCTCTTCCCTAGGGTGCTGATGGTCAACCTGGTGCTAAAGGTGAACCTGGTGATGCTGGTGCTAAAGGCGATGCTGGTCCTCCTGGCCCTGCTGGACCCGCTGGGCCCCCCGGCCCCATTGTGAGTACCTTACACCCTGCTAGTGAAGCTGCCAGCAGCCTTGGACCCGGGGCTGGCGTGGACCTCACACCTCTGCTCTTTCTTGCAGGGTAACGTTGGTGCTCCTGGACCCAAAGGTGCTCGCGGCAGCGCGGGTCCCCCTGTGAGTATCACCAGCCTCTCCATAGAGCCTCCCCAGAGCCAGTGTTCCAAGGGGGCTGGGCCAGGTGAGGTGACAGTTCTCCTGACTGTGCTGTGTTCTTTCTTACCAGGGTGCTACTGGTTTCCCTGGTGCTGCTGGCCGAGTCGGTCCCCCTGGCCCCTCTGTGAGTATCCGTGTGGAGCCGGGGCGGCAGGGGCACTCTGTCAGGAGGATGGCGGGCTCCACTGAGGCCTCTCTGATGCTTCAGAAGTCACAGGAGTCTGACAGCCCCTCCTGTCCTCATCCAGGGAAATGCTGGACCCCCTGGTCCTCCTGGCCCTGCTGGCAAAGAAGGCGGCAAAGGTCCCCGTGGTGAGACTGGTCCCGCTGGACGTCCTGGTGAAGTTGGTCCCCCTGGTCCCCCTGGCCCTGCTGGTGAAAAAGGATCCCCTGGTGCTGACGGACCTGCTGTGAGTGCCAGCTAAGAATTCTGAGGCTCTGGGGCGTGTCCAGAGCTGGGGAGTGGACCCTGTGTCTCCGTGAGGCACCTCACCCACCTCTGCCTCCCACAGGGTGCTCCTGGTACCCCTGGACCTCAGGGTATTGCTGGACAGCGTGGTGTGGTTGGTCTGCCCGGTCAAAGAGGAGAAAGAGGCTTCCCTGGTCTTCCTGGCCCCTCGGTAAGTGCCCCCTCATCTTAGAGTCCTCAAGAACCATCCTAGGACTTGAAGGGTACTGGGTAGGGGTGGGGACCAAGGAAGACAGCTCTGATAGAGATGGTCTCAGCCCCCACACCCTGTCTCTGGCCTGACTCTTTCCTTTCTCTTAGGGTGAGCCCGGCAAACAAGGTCCTTCTGGAGCAAGTGGTGAACGTGGCCCCCCTGGCCCCATGGGCCCCCCTGGATTAGCTGGACCCCCTGGTGAATCTGGACGTGAGGTGAGCAGTCCCTAGCCTCTGAGCCAGTGTCCACAGCAGGGCCTGTGGGTCTGTCCTGAGCTTTCTTCCTGGTGGACTCACCTCTCTCCCCTTTCTCTTCAGGGAGCTCCTGGTGCTGAAGGATCCCCTGGTCGAGATGGCTCTCCTGGCCCCAAGGTAAGAGAGCTGCAGCCCTGCCTGCCGCCCCTGCCACTGGCCCCTTCAGCTGCGACTGGCCCACATGCCCCTGCTCTCCCCTCCTAGGGTGACCGTGGTGAGACTGGCCCTGCTGGACCCCCTGGTGCTCCTGGTGCTCCTGGTGCTCCCGGCCCCGTTGGCCCTGCTGGCAAGAGTGGCGATCGTGGTGAGACTGTAAGTAGCTGGGCTCAGCTCAGGCCAGGGCCTTCCAGGCCTGGGGATAGACAGCTCCCTTCCTTGGGCTGCGGGAAGAGAGGTCTTGTAAGATGTCTAGGCCCCCAGCCTCCCTGGAAAAACTGACCTCGAGACCCCTCTCCAGACAAGACCCCCGTCTCCCCCGAGGAATGGGGTTTACCCCAGCTCACACGAAGCCTGGCTCTGGGGAGGTTCGTCTGGGAGTCGAGAGAGAGCCACAGTGGAGGGACCCAGCTGAGGGGAGGTCTCAGCCTCAGCATCTCCTGGCCAGCATCTAATGCTCTCTCTGCTCTCCCCAGGGTCCTGCTGGTCCTGCTGGTCCCATCGGCCCCGCTGGTGCCCGTGGTCCCGCTGTAAGTACCATGCCAACCCCCATGCCCTCCGTACCCTCACCCGGATATGGACAATGCCCTCACTGAGCACCAACAGAACTTCCACCTGACGGCCTGGCCCCTCCTCTCTCCTAGGGACCTCAAGGCCCCCGTGGTGACAAGGGTGAGACAGGCGAACAGGGCGACAGAGGCATAAAGGGTCACCGTGGCTTCTCCGGTCTCCAGGGTCCTCCTGGCCCTCCTGTGAGTATGCACAACCGCCCCCACCCCCAGTCCCCCGCTGCCTTTGCGCCTCCTCTGTCATCTGCCCAGGCTGTACTGAGTGATGGGGGCCAGGAAACCTGTGCCCCCACTCTCTCCCTCTGGATAGACATTCTGTTACCTCCCTAGTGAGGACTCAAGTTTGAAGATTTGGGGCATTTCCAAGTAGCTTCCCGGAGGGAGAGAGGTGCACAGAGAGGGATTGTGGGAGAGGTCTCAGCATACGGACAGCCTGGGGCTAGACTTCCAGAATGCGGAGGGGGCTGCCCACACTGCCCCTCACCTCCCCAGCCACACACCAGGTGGCCTGTGATCCACGCGGGGCCTGAACCTCCCTTGCTTCTACCTTTCAGGGCTCTCCTGGTGAACAAGGTCCCTCTGGAGCTTCTGGTCCTGCTGGTCCTCGTGTAAGTCATGCTTCTCATTTCCTCCGCCTGGAACCCCAGTCCAGGCTCACCTCGGGGCCCTTTGCCAGGGACATAGGCATCCCTGAGTTCCCCAGGGACAAGGAATGGGGGAGGGAAAAGGATCCTGAAAGTCTTCTCCCCACTGCTCACTCCGTCCCCCACATATTGTCTCCTGGCACAGCCGTGGAAACCAGTGAGGCTGCTGCTTAGGGTCAGAGGTGAGACTGGCCCTGTGAGCCACGGGAATCAGAGCCAGCAGGGACAGTGGCGGGCTTCTCGGTGGGGTGGCCCTGGGCTCTCCAGCCGGTTTTCTGCAATGGTTTTTCTCCCCCTCCAGGGTCCCCCTGGCTCTGCTGGTTCTCCTGGCAAAGATGGACTCAACGGTCTTCCAGGCCCAATCGGTCCCCCTGGTCCTCGCGGTCGCACTGGTGATGCTGGTCCTGTTGTAAGTAGCCCCACCCTCTCTGCCTCATGGTTCTCCAGCCCCAAGAGTCCCCGGACACACTGGTAACGGCTGATCTCCTCTGTTTCTGTGCAGGGTCCCCCCGGCCCTCCTGGACCCCCTGGTCCCCCTGGTCCTCCCAGCGGTGGTTTCGACTTCAGCTTCATGCCCCAGCCACCTCAAGAGAAGGCTGGTGATGGCCGCTACTACCGGGCTGATGATGCCAATGTGGTCCGTGACCGTGATCTTGAAGTGGACACAACCCTCAAGAGCCTGAGCCAGCAGATCGAGAACATCCGCAGCCCTGAAGGCAGCCGCAAGAACCCTGCCCGCACCTGCCGGGACCTCAAGATGTGCCACTCTGACTGGAAGAGCGGTGAGAGCCCTGGCTGCCCATTATCTCCGTCTCCTGCCATCTGTGTCCCACCTCCCATATGTTACTGGCCACCCACCTCCCCTAACTACTTGTCCTGCCCCACTGCAGGAGAGTACTGGATTGACCCCAACCAAGGCTGCAACCTGGATGCCATTAAGGTCTTCTGCAACATGGAGACAGGTGAGACCTGTGTGTACCCCACCCAGCCCACTGTGGCCCAGAAGAACTGGTACATCAGCAACAACCACAAGGAAAAGAGGCACGTCTGGTTCGGCGAGAGCATGACCGGTGGATTTCAGGTGTGTGAGCTGGACCCTAGAACCACTTTCAGGAGATGGGCTAGCCAAGTTAGGAGGGAGAAATCCTGGAGTGGACAAAGTCTTCCCCAGGGGCAAGTGACACCCTTCTTGACAGAAAAGTTAGTTGGACTGGGTGCCATGTTGCACACCTATAATCCCAGAGACTCAGGAGGCTGAGGCAGGAGGATTCTAAGTTTGAGAGCAGCCTGGGGAATTAGCAAGACCCTGAGTCAGAATTAAATTTTTTAAAAAGGGCTGGGGGTATCACTCTTGGGTTCAATCCCTAGTTCTCAAGGGTAGGAGGATGGAGGGAGTTAGTTGGGAATACTCTGGGAAAAGACTCAGGAGCAGGGAGGCCAGGGACTAGAGGCCCCCATGTGGTCACTCACTCTTCACTCTCTCTCCTGCCCCACAGTTCGAGTATGGCAGCGAGGGCTCCGACCCTGCTGATGTGGCCATCCAACTGACCTTCCTGCGCCTGATGTCCACGGAGGCCTCCCAGAACATCACCTACCACTGCAAGAACAGCGTGGCCTACATGGACCAGCAGACTGGCAACCTCAAGAAGTCCCTGCTCCTCCAGGGCTCCAACGAGATCGAACTCCGGGGCGAGGGCAACAGCCGCTTCACCTACAGCACCATCTATGACGGCTGCACGGTAAGACCCCAGGCTCTGGCAGGGCCCCGCCCCTCTGGGCCTTGACTTTGGGGGCAGGGTGGCTCCCCTCCGTCCATCGTCCCCATGTGTAATGGCCCTCTCCCTTTACCTCCCCTCACTCCAGAGTCACACCGGAGCCTGGGGCAAGACAATCATCGAATACAAAACCACCAAGACCTCCCGCCTGCCCATCATCGATGTGGCCCCCTTGGACATTGGCGCCCCAGACCAGGAATTCGGCATGGACATTGGCCCTGCCTGCTTCGTGTAAACTCCCTCCACTCCAACCTGGCTCCCTCCCACCCAGCCCACTTTCTCCCCATTCTGGAAACAGACAAACAACCCAAACTGAAATCCCTCCAAAATTCAAAAAATGGGAGACAATTTCACATGGACTTTGGAAAATATTTTTTTTCCTTTGCATTCATCTCTCAAACTTAGTTTTTATCTTTGACCAACTGAACATGACCAAAAACCAAAAGTGCATTCAACCTTACCAAAGGGAAAAAAAAAAAAAAGAATAAATAAATAAGTTTTTAAAAAAGGAAGCTTGGTCCACTTGCTTGAAGACCCATGTGGGGGTAAGTCCTTTTCTGCCCATTGGGCTTATGATACCCCAAGGCTGCCCTTTCTACTCCTTTCTCCACCCCATCTTGGGGCCTCTCTTCCACTGCTCCCCATATCCAGGTCTCCCCCAAAGACACAGAAAACAATGCATTGTCTACCCAGCAACCAAAGGCAATGCGGAAACATCTAAGTGGTCCTGAGCCCCCAGCCCATTTCTCCCACACAGCACCCCCAAACCCTGGGGGGACCTGGGGTTCTCAGACTGCCAAAGGAACCTTACCCTCTGGCATCCCCTGTCCCCTGCAGCACGCCCCACTTTGTTTTCAAGGGGGCCATGCGGGGGGGAGCCCCTAGCCCCTCACTGGGTTTGGAGGAGAGTCAGGCAGGGCCACAACAGAACAGAGACATCATGCCAATCTCCCCACGCATGCGCGCAGGGCTGGGTGGGAGAGATTGTTCTGTTCCTTGTAACTGTGTTGCTGAAAGACTACCTCGTTCTTGTCTTTGTGTCACCGGGGCAACTGTGTGGGGACAGGGATGGGGGCAGGGCGGCAGCAGCTCCCCATTTTATATCAAAGGTGCTACATCTATGTGATGGGGTGGGGTGGGGAAGGAATCTCTGGTGCTATAGAAGTTGAGATGCCTCCTAGACCAGCAAATATTCCTTTGGCTCAGTCTTTTTTAATTCTTTGTTCTCATTCTTTTTCTTTTCCTTTTCTTTTTTTGTGGATGGGGACTCATGTGAATTTTTTTTTTCTGACGGTGCTATTTAACATGGAGAGAGAGAGCGCCAGGCTCCAGCCTGCTCCCTCTCGCCTTCTCTCCACTGGCTTCTGGGTCTGCCGCTCTCTGACCTGTCCCTCCTCTGAAACCCTCCCCCTTCTTCAGCCGTGCCCCATCCTCCCCACCTCTCCACTGGTCTGTCCTGCATCCGGGTTTCAGAGCACAACTTCCCAAAGCACAAAACAGTTTTTCCCAATAGGGTGGGAGGAAGCAAGGGAGGAAATGAGACTCTGTACCTATTTTGTATGTGTATAATAATTTGAGATGTTTTTAATTATTTTGATTGCTGGAATAAAGCATGTGGAAATGACCCAAACACCTCAGCAGTGGTCTCCTAATTTCCTCCCTGGGAGCTGGGGGAGGGGGTGGCCTGGGGGAGGGGGTGGAGTGGGTGGGCCCATCTCCCATCCCCTGCCCTTACTCTCCGCCCACTCCTGCTACATCCTGCCCTTCACCCTCCTCTCTTGCCTTTCTCCTGCCTTAAGCCTTTTTCTTTCCTCTTGTATTTCTCTCTCTCTTGCAATCTTCTTTGCAGGTTTCCAATTCCTCTTCTTCCCTGCAATGCTGAACAGGTAGCCTACATAGGTCAGCGACACACGCACACGTGCACGTGTGCACGCACACACACACACACACACACACAAGCACACGCCCCTTCAGATCCTGGGTCGCACGGCCTCATGCCCACCCTCCCATGAACACCCATCCGCTTTCTACACTGTGGGCAGGCTGCGGGGCTGGGCTGAAGGAGGTGCTGCCTGTGGGTTCTGGGAGGGGGAGAGACATGGGAGTGCTGAGGGGGACCTGGGAGCCCCTCTGCACACCCTTTCCCTGGACAAACAGAAAAGGGACATCTGGCCTCTACCCCCTCTTCACGCCAAGGAGCCAGCAGTTCAGCACAGGAAGGGGTCTGCCTAGCCTGCTAGGACACCTGGGAGGGGACAGTGGGAAAGGAAGGCTCTTGCTTGCTCTCCTGGGGGTCTTGGAGAGTCTCAGTTAAGACTCCTGCAGGTGTTACCCCCCAGGACAGTGTAGGGCCCTCTTGGTTTTCTGCATGCCCAGAATGCAAGATGGTAGGGAGCTGGCAGCCTGTGGAGGTGCCCGGCCCTGCCTCTGGCCCTTTTCTTCCTCTCTCTCTCTCTCTCTCTCTCTCTCTCTCTCTCTCTGCTTTCCCCAAATTCTTGCTTTCTCTTCCTCCTTCTCCTTCCTCCCTTCTCTTTTCCCTCACCTCTGCCTGCCCCTGGCTGCCCTTGCCTTACAACCTGAAGGGAAGGTGGCCGGCCAGCTCCCGCATCTCAGGGAATAGGGACAGTGGCGTGTGATCAGTGGGGAGCAGAGAATCCAGAGAGTCGGAAGCCTGCAGCAAACAGGACGTCCAGAGATGGGGAGACAGGGAGATGACAGCTGCCCCCACCCCCGCCCAACATCCCAGAGCCCAAACCTCAAAGGAAAGAGAAGGCTGACCTGTGCACCTCCCTCAGGTCTATGGAGAGAGGCACAAGTCCTCAGAGGCCATCCATTGGCAATGCCAATACTGTGTCTGTCATTGAGTATCCATGGCCATTAATGATGGCCTTTAATAATTCATCATTAGCACCTCTACTATAGAAGAACAGTGTAAAAACGAAATTAAAAATACGGCCTATAAATGAAGCCTTACTCACATACAAAATATCCAGAGGTGCATGGGTCCTACTGATCAGTTTATCGATGCATTTGCTTGGTGATGTCGGTCTGCCTGACACGCTGCCCAGGCAACCCCACCTAACTAAACCTTTGGTGCCCACGACTCTTGCTGTCCAGGCTCCATCCCCATCTGGCCCCATGGGGATCTGAAAGCTTCCTGAGCTCAACATCCAAGACTCTACCTGGCCAGTACCTACCTGAACAGGATCACTGTCTCCTCCACAGCCCACATCTGTCACACAAGCCAGAAAGGGTGACCATGATTCCCACATATGCACCCACTACCCGTTTTATGGCTTTTCTTTGCCTGACATGATGTTCCTTCTCTCTGTTTGCTCCAAGCCAGGTTCAAATGTCCCATTGTCCCTGCCCATTCCCCTGTCCACCCCAGGCTGAGATTGGCCCTCTGAGCTCCCAGAGGCTGCTTCCACATCCATGTCACCACATCCCACCCTGTTCTCCCCAGGCCAGAGGCCAGGTCCCTGTGCATAGTCTGTAGATATTAGGGAGAAGGAATAGTAAGAATGTGAGAGAGGCGCCCCTTACCTGTGCGCAGGCGTACTAAGTGTGAGAAAGAGCAGTGAAAACCGCCCGGGGCAGGGGAGCCGAAGGCAATGACAGACAGGTCCTCTACCTGGGCAATGCCATAGAGTAGCCGGGAACCCCTGGGCTACCAAGCATTTGAAATGTGACTAGTGACTGAGGGATGCAATTCTTACTTTTATTAACTGTCATTAATATAAGTAACTCTGTGGGTTGGTGACTACTGTGTCAGGCAGCATAGCTCTGAGAGAGTGACCGTGCCTCTCGCCTACATGCCTGCAAATCTACTTGTGGATGTGTTATTGCGTTTGTGTACCTGTGTGTACCCATCTGTGGGCTGTAGAGGTGGCAGGCCCGCGTGGCAGTGCCCCACCTTGCGACCTCATGTCTGTGTCACGTGGTATAGGGATGGTGTGTGGTTTCAGTGTGTGTTCAGGACAGAAGGGGAGGGGGACAATGGAGCCATTGTACCACACTGCCAACTCAAGCCCTCCTTTCCGCTGACATCACAGCTGCCCTAAATACAGCTGCCAGACCCTGTCTGGGGACCCTCACTGTGTCCTGCATGGTGGCATGGTGCCTGCTGCTCTCAGCTCTGCTCCGCAGGATTTGCCTTGGTCCTCTCTGTGAGCAGGAAAACTAAGTTCCTATGGCTAACTTTTCAGTCAAATCCAGATGGAAAACTCTAGAAAAGGAGGAGCTTTCAGTTGAATTTTTTATTTTCACCACTGTCCTGGAACCCTGGGTCCCTTCGGAGGCCTGATCCCATCCATCTCCTGGCAGGATTTTCTATATCCGGAATCTGGTGGGTTTTCCCTCTTTTTTCCTCCCGGCAGCATCTCACCCCTTAGTTTTCCAGGTCCTCTGACTTTCCTAGACATTGGAGCTCTTGACGGGGAGGAGGGGTGGGGGGAGGGCTGACTCGCTGGAGTGTGGAAGCCTTGGCATGGGGGTGGGGGCTGCATGTGGGACAACGTGGGGCTGTTCACAAAACCAATACCCACTTGGGGAGGCCTGAGCAATGATGTGAGGGGGTGAGGCAGGTGCCTCTGGGGGTCCCTACTTGGGTCTCCTGGTAGGTGCCCATGAATGGGAATGTGCCTCGCTCTGCCCACCCACAGGTGTCCTATCCATGGCATGAGGTCCCACACATGTGTGGAGGGGTGTGTGGTGGAGAGGTATGCGGGGGGGGGGGGTCTGTACACAATGAGGGCAGCTTTGTCACATGTGGGGCAGTGGAGGAGATGCCATGTGAGCTGTGGAAGGCATGGGTCATAGCATTTGGGACATATGTGTCCATAGGCATAGGAGGGTCCTCCTGTGTGAAGAAGGATAGACGGGATATGAGTAGGGAGGGTGTGGGGAGATGAGGAGAGGGTGAGTGTGGGGACAGACTATCACCTTGAAGTCCCAGCACCAGTGGGAGCTCTGGTGCTAGTGAGAAGCCGTGTCTCTGTGGCCCTCTGGGTGTGTGCTCTGGAAGGTACCAAGTTGGGCTGGGGGGCATGTGGATGGCCCAAGAGGCAAGACCCGGGGAAGAGGGCTGGCCTTTATCTGGGAAGGTGACAGATCCTTAGACCCTTGGAAATTACAACACTGAGCAGAGGCTGTGCGAGACCAAGCCAGGGAGGAGATGAGTTTGATACCCACAGGTGCAGGAAAAATTGGTATTCTCCTCACATAGGACAATGAGGGACCAAGAAGAAGAGCTACTGAAAGAGAAGGGCAGAGAAGCAAGGAAGGGGACAATGGTGAGCGGAGGTTGGGGCTCAGTGGTAGTAGTGAGTGCCCTTGTCTAGCACGGGTGAGGCACTGGGCTCAAGCCTCAGCACCGCATACAAATAAATTAATTAATTAAGTAATTAAATAAAGGCACTGTGTCCATCCATAAAGTAAAAAAATTATAAAAAAAGGAGGACGATGAAGGTCATTGTCAGGACCCAAGCATATTCTAGAGCAAGGAGGCTAACATCCAAGTTCTAGGGGACTCACTTCTGTGGGACAAACTCTTTCACTCCCCACCAGGGTTCCCCGGATGCAAGCAGGAGGGCTGAGTGAGCAGGTTCAGTAGAAAGCATGACTGAGTTCTGAGCCGGAGTCGATCTGGAGCAGAGATAAAGTAATCTGGAGTCATGGAACCTGCACCTTCCCCTAAAAATAGAATGTGAGCCACACATGTCATTTTTTATTTCCTAGTGGCCACGTTAAAAAAATAAAAAAAGAAACAAGCAAAATTACTTTTAATATTGTCTTTTATTGAGCCCAGTATCTCCCCAAATATAATTTCATCCTTCTACTTAACAGCACCTCTTTAGTTTGGACCGGGCACATTTCAAGTGGGCAGGACAGCGCCACACCACATAGCAGTTCTGTACCAAGGAGAGTGCGAATTTAGGCGTCCGCCCTAATTCACAGGGAGAAGCTGAACTTTTCAGAAGGCCTAGGTGAACATGGAGTCCATTTAGCCTGGGTCTTAAGGGAGGCAGGGAGACCTCAAGGACAGCTGGCCTTGGAGAGACTGCAGAGGGCTTGTGTATAATCAGGTCCCCAACTCCTGGGAGCCATGAGGGTGCCCTTGTCCTCATGAAGTCCCCCAACAGCTCAAGGCAGGTATGATCATTGTTTCATGAGTGAACAAGGTGTGGCAAAGCCCCATCCAGTCCTGCTCAGGGGAAGTGTGCCTCCAGGGGCTGAGGCCTACTGTAGGTGGTGTGTCCACAGGTCTGGCCCATTGAAGGGGCTGAGGAAATGTGGAGAGTCAGGCCACGTGTCGTCAGGCCCAGCCAACAGTGGGACTGGAGATGGGAAGCAGAGTGTGGGGCTGTCTGGGGGTGGAGGTGGGGCTTGGGGGCAGCTGCCCCTCTGCCAGGGTTTGTGGGGAGTGGGGTGTGACTGTGGTAGACTCTTGCCCTTCTGGGAGGGGCTGGCAGCGCAGCACTGAGTGTGACTGAGTCTTCCCTGTGCGCCGCTGGGCAGCTGGCTGTCGCGTGTGTGTGCCTGGGCACGGCTCTCCGTCCTCTGCAGTCACGCCATCCTCCGGCTACTTGTCTGGGCCACTTCCTCTCAGGCAGGCGGCCAGACTCCCGTGTGCTCCTTGGAGCTGAGCGGGGAGGAAGGTGCTGCCAAGACCCCAAGACCAGGCTGGGAAACAGGGGGCGGGGAGCTGGCCTCGCATTCCCCCATCCCTGGCCAGCACAGGAAGAGCACAGAGGAGGCCCAAGGTCTGCCTGCCGCTGGGGCCAGACGGTGACTGGGGAGACTGCAGCCCCCTCCTCAGGGGGCCAGGGCGGGAGGGAGCCAGCCCAGGCAGCAGGCTGGCTGCTCCAAGCCTCTGGTCTGAGCAGATTCCCTGCAACTTCTGAGCTCTCCATCAGATGATGGGCCCAGGGGAAACAGAGGCGCCCTGGTCTGTCTGGGTTTGCGCCTAGTTCTTAAGGAGGCTGTTCCTTCTCTCTGGGCAAAGGGCTGAGCATAGTTCTCAGTTTTCTTATCTATAAAACGGATGTAATGATCCAGGAATCTCAATCTAAAGCCTCTCCTCCCCCACCCCCAGTGCCCCATGGCCATTAGGTAGTTAATGAATGCACTGAGCACTGAGTCCATAAGCATTCATTGAGGCTGGCAGAGGCACAGAGCTGGCGCAGTGTGTGCCCCCATGTGGGTAGAGGGGGCACCTAGAGCCATCTGTCAGCAAGCACTCATTGAGCACACACAGAGCGAAGCAGGGAGCCCACGGGGGCATCTCTCAGAGAGCAAGGAGGACTGTGAGGGGGCCCCAAGGCCAAAGGCAGGCTGGGAGGCCTCTTTGAGAACATGCCGTTAGGGCAGAGACCAGAACTGCAGCCTTTAGGGAGGTGTTGGGGTGAAGGAATGCTGGCGTTCCCCAGCAGAGAAAGGGTGAGGCGGGCCAGGGTGCTGGGTGCCAGGCCCTGGCTGGATTCTCTTGCAGTTGCCACCTAGAGAAGCCTGAGCCATTGTCCCTGCTCTTCTGCTTTATCTGGGTCACCTCTCCGGTTTGATCTCAGACCTGCCCTCACATGGGAGTGGTAAAACTTGAGACTGGAGGAGGCACAGATGGCAGTGAGCTGGCCCACTTTGGTTGTAGCCACCTGGAAAAATAACCTCGGGCCCCTGCACAGCCAGCTGAGCTCTCCCAGGCTCCTGGGGAAAAGGCACTCTGTGGCACTCAACTCAACGAGTATTCTAAGCTGTGCAGATTCTCTTGTCCTTTCTCTGGAGGAGCCACCAGGAGGGGAGCCCTCAAGCCTGGGGCATTCTGTCCTGCCTCCTAACCTCTCTCCATTTCTAGATTGGCTTCTCTCTCGACACAACCTACAAAGGGACCCCCTCCAAGGGACTGTGACAGGTGTTAACTAAGTTTCCAGGTCAGAGCTGAGATCTTCTGCTTGGCGAGCCCCTCAGTCCTCCAGCCGCTTGCTTTGGGACCTTGGATCAATCACTTCCTCTCCATAGTTCTCAGTTTTCTTATCTATAAAACGGATGTAATGATCCAGGAATCTCTCATTGTCAGGTTCATATGAGGGCTGCATATAGCAGCAGATCCTTCCCTCTTCCTGAAAATCTGAGCAAACAGCAAAATGCTAGGAGCCCAGAGTTGGCTGGCAGCCTCCGGGGACTCCCAGAAGGTCAAAAGGGAAATGTAGACAGTGAGGACCTTGGGAGGCTGTTAGGAGGAGGCTGCTGGAAGGAGGCTGTGGGGAAAAGCATGCTGGCAGCATCAGATGAGCAGGGCAGCAGGCATTTTATTCTGGGGGTCCTGACTCCAAACACCCTTAGCCCTCCCCACCTCATCCCTCTGCTTGTTCAGAGCCTGGGGTCCAACTGGGCCAGGAGCAAGAATCAGCCAGTGGGAGGGGTCTGCAGCTCTCTGAGTGGAGAGAAAAGGGAGTCTGAGATCAGGGCTGGAATTGGAAGCAGGGGAGACAGTCAGGAGGACAGAGAGAGACAAACCCCGGTTTGGGTCGCCTGCTTCCCCACCTTGACCTCTGACCCTGAGTGCTCAGCAGCAGCGGGAGGTATAACCTTGACCCTGCTGAGCGCCCCCTGCCACGAACTGGCTGGTCTCTGGGCCCTGCCTTGCCCTGACCTCATCACCCCATCTTTGAGACAGAGGCCATCTTGTTTCCAGAAACGAGGCTGGCGCTGCCCGGCTGGACCTACCTGGCAGAGTGCTCAGTGCTGGTCCAGGATGAGGGGCACCTGGGCGCTGTCCACACGGGGAGGCAGCCGCTGGCCCGTGCGCACGTTGAACATGGGCAGGGTGGAGAGAGGCCGGGGCACCTCGCGGCTGGCTGCCATCTGCCGCAGCTCCTCTGTGTTCCCGTGGATGGTGTAATGGTGGACCATCTGAATGCTGGAGACATGGGCAAGGAGTCACTGTCAGGGTTAGTCCCCCAGGGCCTGGCACTGCCTCTGAGCCACCCTGCAGGCTGCCCCACCACTTCTTGGTGGGGAGTGGGAAGGGGGCTTACACAGCATGTGGGATCAGGGAACAAACAGGAAATTCCATGATGTCTGTTTGCGCCCAGTGATGGGGGCACAGGCTCTGGGTGCCGACAGTCTGAACTCAAAGCTGTGTGTGCCTGGCAAGTTGCTTAACCACACTGTGCCTCAGTTTCTCCAACAGTAAACTGGGATAATAATGCCCACCCTCTAAATTGTTCTGAAGATTAAATGAGATTGTGTCTCAGTGGTAGATAATGAGACACAGGCTTAAATACATCCACAGTGGATATATATTTGCAGAGGCCAGTGTTTTCTAGGCTTTATATTGTTTTGGCTTTTTAGTTGTTTTTTTTTAAAATGTTGTTATATTTTATTTTATTTTCCATACTGGAAATTGAACCTGTGGGTACTCTGACACTGAACTACATCCTGAGTCCTTTTTATTTTTTATTTTGAGACAGGGCCTCGCTAAGTTGCTTAGGGACTTGTTACATGGCTGAGACTGGCCTCAAATTTGTAATCCTCGTGCCTCAGCCTCCTGAGTTACTGGTATTGCAGGTGTGCTCTGCCAAGCCTGACTGCATTCTGCTCTTGTATTCTGATGACTCCTGGTCCCTTCTAGCACTCAGCTCCTTCTCTCAGTACTCATTCCAAACACAGATCTTCTAACCGTCTCCCTTCCCTCCTGTCTCTTTGTCCGTCTGGTAAACCTACCGTCTCCCTGGCCTTCTCTCACTTCCTACTTTTGCCAACCTGTCTCCCTTCCCGGAACACCTTCCCCATGTCCTGCTGAGACACGGGCATCTCATCATTTGGCTCCTCAGGCTGCTCTCTGGCCCCTTTATATCCTGACCCCCACCTCCCAGCCCCAGCTCAGCCTACCCCATCACTGGCCCTTGTCCCTGTCTGTTTCAGACCAAGGCTCCTTTACGCCCAGCCTCAGGCTCCATCCTCAGCCGCTGGAAGTCCCAGCAGTACTGAATGGCTACGCCTGTGGGGGAAGTCCTTCCTGAGCTCTAGCTTCAGGTCCTCCTCAGAAGACTCAGCCTTGTTTTCATCTGATGCCCTCACTTGCCTGCTTTCTGCTGCAGGGCCGAGTTTCAGTTCTTCTGAGGAGCTGGGTAGCACCACGGTTAAACAGGAGGACCAGCTTTGGGTTGGAACCTGGGTTCCAATGCTTACTGCTAAGTGACCTTGGGGCAAAGGACAACCCCCTCTGTGCCTCTATTTCCTCACCTGCGATATAGTTGTATGTATTAAACCAGTTAATCCAGGAAAATCACCCGGGGCCATCCTCTGGTCAGGCTTGTAGCCAGCAGTATCTATGATTATGGGACCCTTGCCCCAGGGGTGTGTCCAAGCCCTTTTTACACAAACCCATCCATATTTGTTGGCCCAGCGTGGTGACATTTCCCCGGACTACCTGGTTTCCTGCTGGTTCAGAGCAGGGACTTCTCATTCTAAACAATAAGAATTGATTTTCTTAAGGGTGGCTGGGGTCCTGGGCAGGCTGAAGCGAAACCTCACTTGTCACCAAGTTACTGATCAGGTGGGGGAGGGAAAATTGTCCCCAGCCCTGTCTTAGTTTCAGTGAGGGCCCCAGTTAGAGCCTGAGAGGTTACAGAAACGTGTGCCACCTCACACAGAATGGGCCACAGTCCCCAGGGGGGAGTGGGACCCAGTCAGGGGAAGAAGTGCTGTCTAAGGCCAGGGGAAGGTTAAGGTGAGCTCTTGAGTCTGGAATTTGGCAAATGGAGTTCTCCAAAACACAATTTTCCATTCCTGAGCAAGGAGAGGCTGAGGGGAGAGAGCAAGACAAGACGTGTGTGGGTGCTGAGATAGAGAGCCACTTAGTGACATCTGGGAGGGAGGGACTCCTCGGTGGGTCCCTCCCACCCCAGCCCCACATCCGGGCTCCTTACTCTGGCAACACACAGGTGGAAAAATATTCTGGGGATATTTTCTTAGAGCCAAAGCAGATGCCAGGCCCCTCGGTGCCTTCCCCCCCAGGCCTTCCACATCAGCACTAGAACAGAGGGACGTGTAGACCGGCATTCACACACGTGGCCCGAGGTCTCACCCAGCTGACACGTGACCCTGTATGCTGTGCATCCGGCACAGTGTCTTTGGGGCCTGGAGGAGTTTGTTACCAGTTAAATCTGATAGAGGTGAAAAATAGGCCGCAGAATCACAATTTGTGGATAATTTGGAAAAATGGCAGACATTGAACAAAGCGGAAAAATGGAAGTTTGTGGAAATAAATCAGCACAAAACCCAAGATGATAAAGGCTAATATCACACTTGGCAAAATTGGTTATTGATTCCAGATTGACCAGGGAAGCAGATTTCCCCGACAATATCAGAGCTACATAATTGACCCAAAGCAGAAAGCAAAGAAAAGACGGGTCACAAGACAAAATCACAACAGAGACAATTAATCAAATTTGGCACCACCATCACCACCCCCCGCCACCAAAACTGAGGAATGAAATCCTCCCTGTGAAATTTATATGGAAAATCATTGATCTCAACTACCGGGTTGGGGGGGAGTCTGTAAAATAACAATGAACACAGAAAATAAAAGCAAAGCCCTTTGACCGCTTTGCATAGAAAGTTGTTTGAGGAATAAAATCGACTTACATAGATCAAGGATTTTCATTTCTGCTTACACTGGAAAGCACATTCCCCATAAAAATTATGTTGGTATAATTCTGATGTTTAAATGTTTGTATTCTCCCGACTCAGAGGAACAAAGACCCAGTGAGCAGAGATGGTGAGATCAAGCCGGTGGTTTAAAGCTGAGGGCTGAGGACACCCTGCAGTCCTCTCGGGCACAGGTACATAAGCGTGCAAATCTGGGCTGGACCCTTCCATGTGGTCCCCAGAAGACACAGCCCTCACCCACAGGGCACCTGGAAGGTCAAATACCCACACTTCAGGCTCTCCTCCTGTCTACCCTGCCCAGGAGGGAACTATGGGGCCACTGTGACCTCTGCAGGATTCTGGTGGCCTCACAATGCCTCCCTGAGGTCACCACAGAGATAAACCCACCACCCCCTGACCCCACAGCACAAGACTGCAGAGGCCAACCGTGGGTGATCATCCTTGGTCCTCCTTCTAGCCACCCAGGGCAAGGCGAAGCCAAAGCCCTTCAAGAAAGCCTCTGAGGAGAACAGGAGCCAGGACGCAGCTCACCCACCATCGAGAGCGGCACAGTGGAGACTTCCAGCCGCCACCCTGGAGGTCCCTGCACCTAGCTCCCTTCAGCCATCCCAGGGAGAGATGCAGAAAGTCACCTTGCTGCAGTCCCCATCCGTACCCTCGGCTTCAAACGCTGCCATGGGTGGAGGCCAGCAGGCCAGCGCATCAGGAGCCCCTAACAAGAGTGAGAACGCACACTGCACCTCCCCCGAAGGCCACCGGAAGCTCAGCATGTCCAAGGTGATCATGAGGGCTATGGCAGAAAAGGGGACACGCCGCCGCGTATCCCTGGCGGCTCTGAAGAAGGCTGTCACCAACAACGGCTACAACATGGCCCACAACATCTGGCGTTTCGAGCGTGAGCTCAAGAAACTGGTGGACAACGGCATGCTCCAGCGGGTGACCGGCAGGGGAACCTCGGGCTCCTTCCGCCTGGGCAAGAAGCGGGCCTCCAAGCTTAAGGCCAAGAGACGGCAGCAGCAGCAGCAGCGGCGGCGGCGGCGGCCGGGGCACGGCAGATCTGGGCAGCGCCGGTCTGGGCAGCGCAGGTCGCGACTGGGCTCCAAACAGGGCCACAAGCGGCTTTTCAAAGGGGTTCGCAGGGTGGCCAAATGCCGCCGCCATTAACAGGGCAGGCCAGCCAAGCAGGCAGGAGTGCCCGGTGCCACAGGCTCAGGGCAGTGAGAATAAAAAGGAATCCCAACTTACTCCTCTCTGGCCTCCTGGACTCTCTGGGGCTCAGGGAGCAAGAGGGGAAGAGGGCTGGGGTTTGGGAAGGAGGGGCAAAGCTGTGTAGGGGGACCAGGGACAAAATGAGATGGATTGGGGAAGGACAGGCAGAACCAAAAGCGTCCATAGCTGTCACAGTTGCATCTAGGTCCTTGCACGGGGAGAATCTGAGGCTAGAAAGACTGATGGAGTGATTGTGTAGTGGAGTGCAGCCTGGAGTGTGTGTGTGTGTGTGTGTGTGTGTGTGTGTGCGCGCGCCCACCTGAGAGATTCTCAAGCACTTTCCCCAGGACAGTAACAGGTCCCCCTGCCCTTTGTTATAGCAGACTCTTCTATGACCAGAAATAATGCCAGATCAGGCCCAGCACCCACTCAGCCTGGGGCCAGGGCTCCAAGGTCAAGGGCAACCCCCTCCATCTCAAGAGTAATCTAGTTTGTCTCTGTTGCTTATGGAGGTTGGGGAGCCCAATGGGACAGTCAAGGGGGGTTCCCACCCAGCCCCCAGCTTTCTCCTACTTACTCAGAGGTGGCCAGGTCTCTCTTCAATCTGTGGAAGAGTAAGGGAGAGGGTTAGTCCTGCTCTGAGCTCACCCCTGGTGTCCCCAGGGCTGCAATGTGGGTGTTCATCATAATCTGGTCCCAGGCTAGGCAGGCCTAGAGTCCCAGCTGCCCAGAAAGGGGCCCCTCACTCTTCCTCTAGCTCAGAACCTCACTCTTTGAGAGGGTCCCACACAGCCCAAGAGCCACAGGGGCCCCTTGGATGTGAGAGCCACCCTGCCCTCCATTTTTCCCCACACTCACCGTCCTTCTCGCCGGCAACACATGACATAGGCCAGCAGCAAGGTAAGCAGAAGGGCCACCAGCAAAGGCAGCAGGAGAGTGACCAGGAAATCTGCCAGGAACTCTTGGGCTGTGGCCTCCGTAGGTGGACAGAAGAATGGGTCATACTCCAGAATTCCGTCGCCTGGGGTGGTCACCTCATCCACCGGCTCTGGCACTGACTTATCCACCTGCACAGAGAGCCCACGGCTGACCCAGGAGCTGCTGGCTGGACACAGCAACCTCCAGGGGACAGGTCAGAGGTTACAGGGCTCTACTTTATATGCCCCTATGCAACCACAAGGATTCTTCCAGCCTGCTGCTCCTAGCTCATGTGACTAGCAGGACAAACACTTGACCAGGAGACGAGAGGCCAATGCTAGGAGAAGTAGGATTATGCAATGGTTAGCGTCCAGTTCTAGGGTCTGACTGCCTGGGTTTGAATCCTGACTCAGTCTGGTGGTTCACTGGGGAGGTTTGCCTCTGTGCCTGGGTTCCTCATCTGTAAACTCAGAGTGATCACAGTGTACCTGCCTCCCGGGGTAACAGGCTGAATCATGCTTAGTGTACAATTCCCAGCACATACTGAGTGCTCAGATGTCATCAATGACAAGTCCCTGATTGTGGGACCATGAATGAGTCCCTGTCTATTGGTCCACTCCCAGGAACAGAGAGCACCAGTGGTTTCTAGCCTGAATTGGCATCTCTAGGGACCCTTAACATGCCAAAGCACTGTAGTGAGCCTCCCTGGTTTATTACTTGGAAACTCTCTGCTTCTGTTGCAGGTGTGTATGCAAAGAGGCACCTCAGAGAGAAGCAGACAAAGCTGTCACACAGAAGCTCTCAGTGGGCAAAGGGTTTGGGGACTCCCCTGTGGGGAGTCATTACTGGATTTAGCTTTTGGGCTGGGCAGATCTGGACACTAGGAGCTGGAGACTCCAGATGTTTATCGTAGACTCTGTCGCCCTCTTGTGGCAGAAGGTAGAACTTCAGAGGGTGTGTGTGTGTGTGTGTGTGTGTGTGTGTGGTGTGAACAAGACAGAGCACAAACTAAAGTTGAGACTGAGACCAGGGATATACAATACACACCGAGCTGGAGAAGTCAGAAAGGCTGGAGTGAGAAGCAGCAGGAATGGAGGGAGAAACTTGAGGGGACCATGCCCCAGCCCCAGGCCTGGAGCTAGTTCACTGCTTACCCGGGTGCAGGATCATTGGGATTAATGGAGCACCTTTCTTAACAGACATTTGGGAAGGCTTGTGAAACCTTGTTAATTGGTGAACACTTTAGGCCCCCTGGTTTTTCTACACTAGATCTCCTCTTTACCTCAAATCAAAGGGGTTATTCTTTCATCCATATAGGTACTCAAATCCCTAAGAAGCTATCATCTAGGCAAATGATGAGCTTCTGTGTCTTGAGCATGATAACTCCAGGATAGTTTGCATTTGTCTAAGAGGAGAGACAGTGTAAGATACCTGGCACAGAGTTGGCATGCAGGGGAATCCAGCAAGAGGGAGCTATCTCTTCTTGATTTAGCAGAAGCTTGGTTTTAACCACCTGAATAAAAATGGAAATAAATGACCCACTCCTCACCAGGGACACATTGCACCAGTCAACACGGAAGTGAGGTGCCAGGTTGTCGTAGCAGGATAGAAGTGGAGGCTGGCCCTGGGCACAGCGGGCGTGGCTGTCAGGGGAGGCAACCATCTTCAGGCAGGTAGAGAAGGGTGAGGCAGAGCCCACCTTGATGTACACCCTGGGCACAAGTGAAAGCCAAAGTCAGCAGAGTGGTGGTGGTGGGGGGCACCTGGGCACCACTCTGCTGGGGGTGTTGAAGCTGACCTGATTGTAGGCTGGGACCTGGGGATGGGATGGAGGGTGGGGCAGAAGCATGGTGCAGCTGGGGCCCAGCAGGAGAGGTCCCAGCCTCCTCTCCCTGAGATCTGGGGTAACGGTGACAGGACATAGAGCACCCCACTCTATTCCCCCAGGGATGTTCTTGGATGGACCTGCAGGAAGTGCAGGATTCAGGGTAACTGGGGTTTAGGCCCACGAAGGACAAGAAGGAAGCAAGGGTTGGCTGGAGGGGAGTGGATGGCCGTGTGACTCCAGGAGGAGATGGACGGACATGGCGAGGATGTGCAGTGGGGACAAAGCCCTACCTGGAAATTAGGGGGAGTCCCTGATTCATGCCCATCACCCTGATCCCAAGTGGACAGCCTGTCCTTTAGGAAGCCCTGCTGGACTGCACACTGACCCTTCCTTCCGGCCCTCAATGGGAAGAGGGACACGGCCCCCACGGTCTAAGGCAGAAGTGATGTTGAGCAGCTGCAGCTCCCCGGGCTCCCAGAGCCCTGCCAAGGCTGTGAGGAAGCGGTGGGCAGGCGTCGAGGGCAGCACCTCCTCCACATCATGGCTACGCACCAGGAACTCAGCTTGGTAAGGCAGCCAGGGGCCTGGGAAGCCAGGTGAACACTTTAGGCTGCCCTAGCCCCCGGTTCTGCACCCCCACATCTTTCCCAAGCCTCCCCTAAGCTCCTTCCCACATCCCCACACACGCCTTCCTGCCCCCAGCACCCTGAACCTCACAGGTGCCAAACGCCCTGGCCCGACCCCCATGGCCTCAATGACTCACCCAGCCTCACCGTCTGTGGGCAGCGTGGACAATAGCACCGCCTGAGACTGGACCCCCAGCCAGCGCTCATTCCCTGAAAGCTACCAATGTCACATCCTTCCTGGCCCCCACTCTCTCCTACTGTCCAAGCCTCTCCCTTCCACAACCACCACTCCTCCCAGGAGGTTCCTCAAGACTGGCATTAGCTGGGAAGCTGACCATACCTTCCGGGTCCCCAATCAGCAGCACCAGCCTCTGCCGAGTGGTATCAAAGCTGTCCCGGTTGTAGGCTGTGACCTGGGGGGTAAAAAGGGGGATGTGGGGTTAATCGGGGACCGTGGCACAGCTGGGCCTGGCAGAGAAGACTGATAAGGAAACTCAGTTAGAGGTAATAGAAATTCTATGTCAATGACCATGAAGGAACTCAATTCCCGTGGGTAAGGCTGCCCCTAGGAGGCCAAGGTGACCCGCCCCCGGGAGGTTCTGGGGGTCCCTGCTGGCACCTCGATGACCTGGCGCCCACGATCTTCTGGGGTGGCGGTACCATAGAGGAAGCCAGGGTTGTAGGGGCTGCGCTGGGTGTAGCGGAGCCACCGGGGCAGATCTGGGTGTCCCTGCAGGTGGGCGTGGTAGGTGATGCGGACGGTGGGCGGGACAGCTGGTGGAGGAAAGAAGAGGGGATTGGATGCCTGACCAGAGCCCAGGGCCAGGCACCCCCCAGCCCGTCAGGTGCCCACCAGGTCTCTCACCGATGTGCTCCGGAAGACGCAGGAAGGTGGCATGATCCAGTGTGTGCACAAAGACACGACCCACCAGCGGGTGAAGTGTGGTCTGCTGGGCCTCCGTGCCCCCCAGTCCTGCCAGGAGACCTGAGGGCACCCCACAAACCCCAAACACACGGATGGCCTCAGTCCTGTCAGAGCATAAGCTCCATTCCCCACCAAGCCCTTGCCTCTGCTGTCTCTGAGCAAAGGAAGACGTGTTGGATTGACGGGAGGGCTCCCCCCTCAACAATCTAGGCCCCTGTTGGGGTCGCAGTGGGCAGGGACTAGTGTTTGACTGGGAGGGGTATGTGGGGTGCATCTGTTAATGACACTTGGAAATGAACCCCATGCTGAATGTCTAGGAGGCTGGTAGGGACAGTGGGATGAAGGAGCCTTCAAAGGAACCATCTGGAACCCCGAACCCCCACCTGCCTTCCCTAATATGCAGGGAAGATCAGGGCTTACACTAGAGGCCATGGGAAATCTAACAAAGAGGACATGCCTCAGCCGCCCCACCCTCCCTCTTAGGGCCAAATTTAGCCCGGGCCTGGAAGAAGCTGTAGCCCAGCCAGCCCATTAAAGGGCCCATGCATGACCCTACGGCCTCTGCACTCAGGCCCACCTCAGCCCCCGGACAACTTCAGGCCTCAGACCTCCCAGGCCCTACACCCCGGAGCCAGCTCCCAGCCCCTGGATACTGGCCTGCCTTGATGCCAGCACCCCAGAGCCCTTCAGGCCCTACCTTGCCCTCCACAGATCCTCCCCTAAGGACCCCCATTCTTCCATCTCATCATCCGAAAACCCACCCTTCATCCTGGACCTCCCCCTGAGAAAGTCCCCAACTTGCCCACAAGGAGAGGAATCCAGATTAGTGCTGCTACCATGGCTGCCCCAGCCTGGCCGGCCCCTGTGAGTGACAGAGACAGAGGCAGGGAGAAGAGGAGGGAGGGAGAGAGGGAAAGAGGGAGGGAGGGGGGAGGGACGAAGGGAGGTGGCCCAGAGCAGCTGGGTCCCAGCCTCAGCCTCGGGGGCCCTCCCCATTGCCACCTAGAGCAGGCACTGAATCTAGGGTGGACACCCTCCTCACAGTGTCCTTCCAGTCGGTCGCCCCCTCCCCGTAGCCACAGTGATTTCTAAACCACCCACCTGCCTACTTGAGATCTTCTAAAATCCTAATGGCCCCCATTGTTCTTGAGTTCCTAGTAGCTTTCAGGTCCATCCTGTCTAAATCTCTCCACTACACTATAGACACACACACACACACGCACACACACACACACACACACACACACACACACAGGCTCCTCCAGGGAATTTCTGCCTGAAATTCCCTCCCTCCCTCCACCTCACCATCCAAACCAGCCAACTTTGGCTCAATGCACGAGTTCCCTCCTCTCTGAGGCAAGGTTCCCCTTAGCTCCTGTGTGCATCCCTGTGTCCAATCCAAGGTCACAGCTGGGGTGATATGGGTGCTCTGGGCTCCTAGGGGACTATGATCACTGTACTTTCCTATCCCTGACCTGACACAGGTCTGAGCAACTAGTATGTGTAAGGGACAGGGTGACAGCTTTCTAAACAGCAAATGGAAGTGTCTGTTCACCCTGTGCTCATTTCCTGGCCAAGCATCCCCAGTGTGGAGGTCTGGGAGGAGCAAGCTTTGCATGGAGCCTGTCTCTGAGCAGAGGAGGCGCCCTCTCTGGTTCATGTAGCTGGGGCTACCTGAATGGGCTTGGAGGCATGCTTGTCTGGGCATATGCCCCACCTTGAAGCTCCCCAAGATGTGGCCTTGAGTGAGTCACTTGCCCTCTTAGGCCTCTGTCCACAAGTACAAGCCTGCATGAATAGTGCTCGCCTCTCAGCGTCATTGTGGAACTTCTGCATGATCATGTTTGCAGCACATCTGTGACACCGGATCTACCAGGTACCAGCTGCCAAAGAGGCAGAGCTGAGCAAAGTCCAGGCTGTGTGACACTTGCACACAAAGTCAGGAGAGCTGAACTGCCTTGCCCCTGTGCTAGAGGGTTCACATAGGTTTACAACCATTACCCTGTTGCATACCATGGTGGTTCTATGAGGCAGCATTACTACTGCCTCCACTTTACAGATGGTAATACTAAGGCACAGCACTGTATTACTTCCCAAGACATGCTGCTGATGAGTTGAATGTATGGTAGGTGCTTAGCCCAGTGCCCAGCTCCATCAAAGCAGCCATTGAGGTGCTTGCTGGCAGGGCATGCTTCCTTCCTCCTGTATCTGCCAAAGGACCTTGGTCCAGGGGGCTCTTCTTTCCCAAAGCCTTGCATTCAGAGAAGGCTGAGGGGGCCCCCCCTCTCCAGGTGCTGGAGAAGGAGGCAGGACCCCAGGGCTGCCAGTGTTCCACTGTCCTTGGTATCCAGGTAAGCAAGCCTGCAGGCCTCAAAGTGAAAGGTGCTTCCCACCTCACCCCACAACCTAGCAACCCGGGCAAGGACGTCTGGATTTGCCCTGGATTGGGCCTCCAGGTGTGGGCCTGCAGATGGGCTTGGCGTGTGGACTAGCAGGTAGGTTGCTTCATCTTTGTCCTCTCTCTTTCCACCTGACCACCTCACCTGTCTCTGGAGAGCTACCAAATTCCAGAGTCAGCAACTGCTGTGGATCTCAGGCAGGTGTTTGTCCCTGAATCACCTTGACATCTCTCTGACTTCTCAAAGATGAAGGCAGAGAGGAAGAGCGATTCTGGAGGCAGAGGGCCATTGGGGCAGGCGGAGGTGCCCGAGCTGGGCAGCTGCCCAAGCCTCAGCCCCTGAGCTTCCCCATGTGACTCTTCTCCCTCCCCCCTGCTGCCGCCCCTGCTATTTTTGGAGCCACACACTCACACCCTCAGCTGTCTTAAGGCAGAAGTGCCTGCACCCAGGGTCACCAGGCCTGAGGAAGTCACCCTACCTCAATGGAAAAGCTGTAGCCAACTCCCCTCTGATCCTCCCCAAGACTGCCCTCTTTCAGAAGAGCCAGAGACTGTTCTGGAGCCAGCTAAAAGTAACCAGGAAGCCTCCTCAGTCCCTTAGATTACCAGATGGATTCCCTACCCTCAGAGCTGCCTGAATCCCAACTTGCTGTTGTAACACATAGCACTTTCTGTTGAAGCCTAGGGCTGGAATGGGCGGGGTCATAGGGTCTTTAAACTTCTTATTTGGGGAGTTTTTAAAAAGTATACAGAGCTGGGCGTGGGTGGTGGAAGCCTATAATCCCAGTGGCTTGTGAGGCTGAGACAGGAGGATGGCAAGTTCAAAGCCAGCCTCAACAAAAGTGAGGTGCTAAGCAACTCAGTGAGACTATGTCTCTAAATAAAATACAAAATAGGGCTGTGGATGTGACTCAGTGGTGGAGTGCCCCTGAGTTCCATCCTTAGTACCTCCCCCAAAAAAGAAGTATACAGAATAATATAATAGCGTCTATGTATTTATCGACTTGTGGCCAATCTACTGTCATCTATGCTCCTTCCAATTGCCCTCTCCCATTTGATTTCATCTGTCAATGTTCCAGTACATATCTGTAAAAGATAGTGGCTCCTTTTAACATAATCACAAAACATAATAAATTATTAATATAATCAACAATCCCCTTAATATCAAACTTTCTTTTCTTTTCTTTTCTTTTCTTTTTTTAAAGAGAGAGAGAGAGAGAGAGAATTTTAATATTTATTTTGCTTTTTTAGTTTTCGGCGGACACAACATCTTTGTATGTGGTGCTGAGGATCGAACCCGGGCCGCACGCATGCCAGGCGAGCGCGCTACCGCTTGAGCCACATCCCCAGCCCAATATCAAACTTTCAATGTTCAATTTCATACAAATTTCATGTGTTTGTTTTCAAGAGATAAGGTCTCACTATGTGGCCCAGGCTGGTCTCAAACTCCTGGGCTCAAGCCATCCTCCTACCTCAGCCTCCTAAGTAGCTGAGACTAAGGGCACATGCCTAGGGACCCAGCTAAGTTCTTCTTTTTTTTTTTTTACAATGTATTTGTTTGAAATAGAACCTAAATAAGATGGACATACAACTGATTGATAGTCTCTTTTAAATATCTCCAAATTCCTGACATGAGTGAGGCCCTGGATTCAATCCCCAGTACCACCTAAATAAATAAATAAATGCAAGCTCAAAAACAAAAACCCCTCCAATCCATAAGTTCCTTGTCCATCTCTTTCTCTTCTCCACCCTCCCTCCTCCTTCCTCCTGGCTTCTCTTCTTCCTTCCCTCCTTTCCCTAGCACTCTCTCATTCCTTGAAAGAGTCAGCTCTTCTGCAGTTTTCTGATTTTGCTGATTGCAACTCTCTGGTGTTCTTTAACATGTTCCTCTGACCTCTGCACTTTCTGTAAATGGTATTTCCTGTACATTGTAGCTGGATCCAGAGGCCTGATCAGATTTAGGTTCAATTTTCTTTTGCAGAACCACTTTATAGGTGCTGCAAGTGTCTTCCATCTGGAGGCAGATCATGCACCATCAGCTTTTTTAGTTTAGATGTTTTTTCCTCCCCCTTGGAAAATGATGATATTAAAATTTGATCTTTCTTTTCTTTACTAGCTGGAATACTTCTAGGTAGAGAAACTGAGCCAGGTGTAGTGGCACACACCTGTAATCCCAGCAACTAGGAAGACTGAGGCAGGAGGGTCTCAAGTTCGAGGTCAGCCTCAGCAATTTAGTGAGACCCTATCTCAAAATAAAAAAATAAAAAGGGTTGGGGATATAGCTCAGTGGTAGAGTGCCCATGGGTACTTAAATTAATCATCATCATCATCATGATACTGTCCTTCACTAATGATTTGGTTACCTGAATGGCACAGTTCATATAGAAAAAAAAAACAAAACATAAAAAACAGGGTAAATGCTTGATTTGTTTCCTGTATTGACCAGTTTCACAATAATAAGCTGATTTCCTAGCATCCTCCAAACTGTGACTAATTAGCTTTCTTTTCACTATTAGTTTAATTGTGAATTTATGGTTTAAATATATTTGCTTTAACCCATGTGACTAGTGTCCCTCCTGGTGTCCACTTTGCCGGTCTTTAGCTCTCGGTTTAGCTCTCCTCACCAGTGGGAGCATCCGGCCAGGAGGGGAGGGACCATACAGAAGGGTCAGGTCTCTGCCTGTGTGTTTCTCAGCCTTGTCTCTGCAGGCTCAGCCAGAGCTTCCATCGCCTCTGCTTCTCTACTGCGACCCCAGTCCTGCCCTGGCCTAGCTGGTTTTCTGTCCTCGCTTCTTTGCCATCCGCGTCCATCTCCCCAGCTTCCTACCCTGTCTCTTCCCTCCCAACGAACCCTGCATGAATGAATGCATGCGCGATATCCCCAACTCTCTCATCCCACTCCAGGATCCATGAACCTGTCTCCCTAAGTCTCTTGATCTTTGAGGACCATATTTTCTTTATCTGCATCTAAAACAGGGGATTATACATGGTGGTGAGGGACAAAGGACAGGCATTTTCGTCACTGTGATCTGATTCTCGCATCTGCTTCCCAGGCTCCACCCACATCTTTCTCCCCCATCCTCTTCGTCGCCCCCAGCGCAACAACAAAGGGTGCGACTCGTCAGTTAGCCACGAGAGGGCGCGTTCGCCAGCTCCAGCCCGCCCTGCGCCTGCGCATTGGTGAGGCGGAACCGAGAGCTGAGCGGAGAGCCCGGGGGCGAGAGGGAGGAGGAGGGCGGCAGGGCGCCCCGCCCCGGGTTGAGGATGCGCGATCGTGGTGCATGCGTGCTGAACGCGATGGTTGAAGGGGCGACGCAGAAGGGCACCCAAGGCCGCGCGCCCCATGTCGTCCTCCTCTTCCCAATTCAGAGAATGTTCTTCCCTACGGAGAAGAGAACCTGCACGGAAGCAGGAGGCTGGGCAGAATGATCTCTTCCCCACCTGTCCCCCACCCACCCATCATCTGTGTCAAT